AACATTGTAAAAAAAACCCACACGTTCAAAATACAAACTAAACACAATTTCGAAATCTATAGGAAACCAACAAACACAAAGAGAGTAATACCAAGCACTTCAAACCATTCCCATCAACACAAAATGGCCGCTTATCACCACATGGTTCACAGGATGCAAACTCTTCCTCTTAGCGATACAGGCAAATCAAAGGAAATAGCTCACATTTTTGAAATCGCTAGACTTAATGGGTATCAAGAAAAAACAATTCAAGCAGTAATCGATAAAAGAACAAGGGATCATTTTAGGCGTATTTCGACAACTCTTACACCAGTAACTGAGGGTTTAAAACGGGTAGCGGTGAATTTCGACAAAAACATTACCAAACCATTGATTTTCAAGTTTAGAAGTTTTGGCCTAGATTTAGTATTCAGCAGTAGGACAAATCAGCTGAAGTCACTGTTAGGATCAACTAAAGATTCAATAAATGTCTTAGGGAAAGCCGGAGTCTACAAAATCTCTTGTCCAGATTGCAATAAAATCTACATTGGTCAGACGAAAAGGACTTTGGAAACAAGGTTTAAGGAACACATCGCAGAGGTAGAAAAAGGCTAACAAAGAGATGGATAAAGGACTTCATTATGAATTTAAATCCAAGGTTGCAGAACATATCGTTACAAAGGGGCACAATTTGACTATGGGAAACATTAATATCCTGCGGACTGCATCTTCGACTTGGAAACTAGACGTAGCTGAAAGTTTAGAAATATTTAAACATAATCCATCAACATTGCTTAATAGAGATCAAGAAAACGGATACTCGAGACTCTTTAGCATGCTACCTAAAACGACACATAGTAGCATGCATCTACCTGTTGGAGACTGAATTTAGGTACCTGGTTAGGTAAATTTTGACATGGCAGTGGATACAAAATTATAATCTTCAGCAAAGTTGTTCACAGAAATGTTTTCTACAGCTTTACCGAAACCAATAATTTTTTACCTCATCATATTAAAAAAATAAATTTTGCATATCACTATTAGGTGGATTAATCTTTAATTTTCTTTTACCATAAGAAGGAGTGGGGTTACAACCAATAACTTCTCAGAAGACACCTAGTGCTTTAATCAACCATTTCAGCGTAAAAAAGCGCGTATTTTGATACCCTTGGCACCACTGTGGGATGGTTTGGTCCATTAAGTCGGCTCTTAGAGCTATTCCTGCGGAACGTAAGCTGGTTGACGAATCGTTTGCAACACTATTCACCGAAGCTGAGAAAATGATTAACTCTCACTTTTTAACTTTCGTTTATCTGGAGACTTTAGACCAGGAAGCGATGACTCCTAATAAATTCCTGCTGTTAAGTTCAACAGGGGTGCGGCAACCAGTAAAGGATCCGGTTAGCAAAGAAGAGTCACTGAGGAGCAGTTTAAAAATGCTGCAGTAGACATTGGGCAGCATCTGGAGAAGGTGAATCACTGTGTACCTGCCGACGATCACAAGTAGGACTAAGTGCTTTCAAAATGTCCGGGCGATCAAAGAGGGTGAATTAGCAGTCATAGCAGATGTGTTACAAGTCACTCCGTTCGCTCACTCAGTCCAGAGTATTCTTTCCACAAATGGGGATTTATATACGTTTATAGAAGCAACATCATAAATAAAACCTTAGCTAGCTAGATAGGGACTTCAATAAAACTAAAATAATAAATATGAAAGCTATAAAAATAATAAAATTTATGCAAATAAATGAACGCTTAAACTATGTATCAATCAAAATTAATCTAGAATGCAAAAGACGGCTAACGACTAAATAAAAAAAAAACAAAACAAAACACTGTGAAGGTATTGTACGCAGCCTCAACAACACGCCACACCCACAATATACCCCTAAACGCTGGTATTTTTTGTAGGAGTACTGCTTGATGGGTGCATGCTACCTACATTAACCGTGGTAAAAGACCTATTCGCCGGTTCTCAAGGATTGCAAGTCGGACGGGAAAATAAACTTTTTGTTCACATTGTTCTACTCGTTCGCTGTAATGGTCAGCAGAAACATTTGCTAATTATATTAATGTGAAATTATTCCAATTGCATCTTTGCTAAAGACCGCATTTCGATTGAACGTCAGGATAATTAGTTATTAATAAATTTGGACGTTATATTCTTCTGACATGCTCCATAAACTGCTCAGCAGGCAACACTAGTATGCTTGATGCGAAGAATACGGCAAAACATCCAGGCTACTATGTCTCATAAGTGCAATACCCTAAAAGCAGTCAATTAATCATATCAAAAAGGCACCGGTGGTGTAGTGATAAGCGTGATTGCCTCTCACCCCAGCAGGCTTGGGTTCAATCCCAGCCGGCGCCGCCGGGATGTTCTGAGGCATAACATCTCTGATCACGCCTTCCTTCGGAAGGGAAGTAAAGCCGTTGGTCCCCGGTTCATGAGATGATGGGTCGATAGGTAGTAGGGTCCAGGTGTGGGAGCTGCCTCCCTGGCGTCGGTAGCATTGGTGCTCAGCACGGAAAACAAGATCGACGGAAAACAAATCTTGGGAAATAAAATCATATAAAAACAGTTATGGGTTTTGAAATCAATTAATAACAAATTACCTTGAAGTGTAATCAAAAAGTGATTTTCAGTAAAGTTGCAGCTGATAAAATTTCACATATGAACTTTTACAACTTTTACGTAATTTATTATGACAAGTGCTGAGTTCGCATCAACATAAACTCAACATTTGGAAGAATGGTCAGGACCCGATTTAGAATCAATTAAGTGTGGTGGAACAAAATCAATGCACCTGTGTACATACCGAGGCACAACACGCTTCACTTTCCCGTATTTTCCAAGTACCAACGTTCAAGGCCCTAGCAAGGTTCCAGCAAGGGAGAGGCGAAAAAAAATTACTATGGAAAATTTGGCCGAATGCAATTTAACCGAACGCCATTTCACCGAAAGCCTTTGTGTTTCTGAGTTTAGGGGACAGTTTTCCCCTACCCCCCTCTGGCTACGCCTATTCCAATGTTAGATCATCCCCTGGTACCTTTGGCAGAAGATCGTACACTCACACGTATTGACTGTTGCCCCCCGTAGGCGACATCCTTACGTCAACTGTCTTTTCATTAGCATAATGGAAAATTAATTGCTCAGGGTTATGCACTGCAGTGATGGAAAAGTTCACACAAAATCA